ATGCTGCCCTGCTTCCCTTCCTCTGGAGGAAGCCCCATGTGAGGAATTCTCCATTTAAGGAGAGTGTCTTGGTGAGTGGGAGGAGAGGCCTAACAACCACAGGTAAATATGGGGGAAGACACAACAAGTGGCCACCTCCTCACGGAGTCAAATTCCTCTGGTCAGTTCTTTCTCGGCTCTCTTCCTCCCCCAAACCTGGATGGAAATATGAAGCCACAATTCACTCCCAGTTACTCATCCTGACAAACAAGAAGCTGATTCCAATGAAGTATCATTTTGCAGCTCTTTGCTTCTGCTTCCACTTCTCCGGAGATGTGCTTTTGGCTGTCCCCACTTGCTTCAGTGGCTGGGGGACTGGGGCAAATTCAGACGGTGCTGGCTGCCTGCGCTGGAGGGCACCCCGCAGGCCTCGACATGGATGCCCAGGGACTGAGTCGCTCCCTTTGTCCTTCCAGGCAGAGAGGGGTGGAGACGGGACCCCTGCCAGTGACAGAGAGTACTCATTCTTTCACTCAGGCCAGGGCTTTGTCCCTGGGGGACAGAGCAAGAGGTAAACACAAAACCTGATTTGCCTGTGCTGTGTGGAACCACAAAATCTTGTTGTTGTCACGGGCCACTCCCTCCCTCCCTCCCCAGCCAATTCCATGTTCCGGAGGCTGGGCTGCCACTGGGTTTATGCTGCACATTGCTCCACAATGGACACAGCTGACTGGACCAGAGCAACCCCTGACCTGCCTGGACCAATCACATCCTCTCCGGGGAATTTGGGGATGGTGTCTCGAGACAGTGAACACACGCCAACTAGAGGTTTCTCTCCTTTGCTCTGTGTTGTTGAAATTGCCCAGGGAATTTTGAAAACATACACACACACATGCTCACACGTGCTCACACACACGCACGCTCTCACACACGCACACTCTCACACACACACACACACTCACACACGCACGCTCACACGCACACACACACACGTGATCTATCTATACTGAGCCTGCTCCGAAGAGCCTCCTGGTGCAGCTCAGAGTGGTACAATCACACGGAGGAGCAGAAAGAGGGCAATGAGGTGGACCCTCAGAGAGAGGTTGGAGTGAGAGACTGAGGCTCTAGAAGGAGTAGTCAGTGATCTTGATACCTGATAGGTTTCTAGTTCTGGGTTCCAAACATCCTCAGGCCACATTGCAGCTCCTGCTCTTCAATCTTCCCTTCCAAATGTTTCTTCTGAAGCTACTTCGAGTAGCTTCTATTACATACAACAAAATGAACCTTCACCAAATCCCTCACACAGCCCGTCTGTCACTGGCCCCTGAATACTGCTGATTTTACCTCAGAAATTGCACTTAAATCTCATCCTTGTGGCCTCTTCAAAGGGGTTCTTACCTTTACCCTCCCTGAGTCAACTCCCTGGCCTCTTCGCTCTCATCTAGCCTCCATATAAAACAGATCTGATTCACTCACCTTCAAATTTAGAGTCCTTTATTGGTTCCTCATTGCCTGTTAAAAATAACAAAATAGTCCTCTATAAATTGACCTGTAAAAATCTCTCTATTATGTTACTAACTGGAAAAAAATTGCAGATCATTAGGATATAGGTGTAGAATACTTTAATTTTTTTAAATGTGATTTAAATATGTATAAAAATCCTTGCTTAAATTTAGGAAAAAGAAGGGACATTTTCTAACCATTAGCAGGGGTTTCCTCAGTGGGTTCGTTTTAGATGGGCAGAGAGGAAATTCCCATCATGTCTTACTTTTATAATATTGAATAAATGATAGGGAGTATGGTGATTTTAAACTTTTTCTATGTTCTTCCAAAATATTTAAATGTCCAAGGTCCTTTGCATCCTGGCCCCCATGTGCTTCTCAGTATCCTTTCTTACTATTGTGCCACATGCTTTCTGAGCTTTTCATTCTTCCCCAAAGCTAGCATCCTCTTTCATGCCGCCACAGTACCATATTCTGTGCCTTCTGCCCAAAATGCCCATACTCAATTCTTCATCTGAAACCCTTATGTTTTTCTGTTTTGGCCTGGCTCAAATATCCCCTCTGGGAAGCCTTCCTAGACTGATCCATCCCTGACACACGTCAGACTTAGTTGTTGTGGTCCAGTGGCCCTGTGGTCCCCTGTTTCTGTGTCTGCCGTAATACCACCAAACTGGGTTGTAGCTGATGAGGTCACATGTATTTCTCCCCAACTTGAGGTAAGCGCCTTAGGGGTGAGGGCTGAGGTTTATTCATCTCTGCCTCTTCCATATCTAGTAGAGAGCTGGACAAATAATGGCGGCACAGAAAATCTTGGTTGGTTGAATGAGTGAGTGAATGAGTGAATGAATGAATGAGTGAATGGGTAAATGAAGAGTGAGCGAATGAATGAATGAGTGAATGAATGAATGAGTGAATGAATGAGTGAATGAACGGGTGAACAGGCTCTTGATCACCAGGTAGAGCCATGATGTAGTCATAGGATTCCCTGCCTCTACCAGATAAAGCTGACCAACTAGAACTCATCCCAGCCCTGTTCCTGAGCTGGACTCCAGCACAGAGTTGTTGCTTTTCACCAGCTTGCAGGGGGAGTTACCAAGCTGGGTTAGTAACTGTTGATGGGGCCCTTTACACGTCACAAAGATCAATTAGAAATGTATTTCTAATGGTGGGTGACTAATAATGAAATCATGAGGCTATGCCTATTCTAAAAAATGTCTAGGTGATGGGTCCGAGCTCATGTCTGGGTATTTGTTACCCCTCCACCCCCAATGCTGTACTCTAAAAAGAGCTCTGTAATTGCCATACCCCTGACCACCCCCCCCCCCCCCCCGAGCCTGGACCGGGCTTCTGCCCACCCCCCCCCCCGCCCCACTTCCAAAGAGATAAGATTCCTTACTGCTGGGAGAGGAGCCAAGTCAAGCTATGACCATAAGGGAGGAGGAGAAATGGGGGTGGAGGAGAAAAAGCAGTCATGGGGACAGGGAGTAGAGGAGTTCTCTTCAAGATATGAACACAGCCCCATCAGAGCAGCTATGAGCCAATGAGACAGAAAAGAAAGTTCCGTCAAAGTTTCAGAGTCCCTATCTATGTCTGTCTTCTGTAATGAATTGCGTGAGGGACGAGCAAAGAAGGAAATTCCTTTAAAATACATGCTGGTTATTGTCCTGTGCTTAAACGTGGCACAGTCCCAAGGCCAACACCCAAGAGTCTAAGCTTTGTGAAAGTGGCACCTATAAATAGGGGAGAAGGCCCTGCAGAAAGACGAAGCCGTGCCTCTCGGTCAGGGCTCTGCTTGCACCCCAGCTGCCTCTGTCACAGAGAATACAGCCAGCACAAGCAGAGGCGGCAGGGGTCCCAGCACCGGTCAGTCTGGCTGCCGGGAAGGAGACAGCCTGGACAGTGATGCACTAGACTTTGGGCATGGAGTGGAGGGCCACTCAAACAAGGTACTGTCCTCACCATTCACTGGGGCTTTTAGGCCAGGGGTGTCCGGGAGCCCATGACGGCAGGTTGGAGGGAGGAAGGGGAATCTGTTTGGGAGCAGGTTACAGCCTGACGTGGGTACCCTAGGGCAGCCTGAAACTAGCCAGGGTCCCACCCAGGCCAGGGATGCCCCAGGAGCTACCGAACCCCTGGGTCACAGAGACCACTACCAGTATGTGGTGGCTGTGAGGCAGCCAAAGTTTCTAGTATCTCAACAATGGTTTACTCAAAGAGAAGTCTCTGGGACATGCTCAGAATTCCCCCCCCCCCACCCCTCCACCAGTGGCTGCAGATTTTAAGATTAGAAGGGGGGAAGATCCATGGGGCAAGGTCAACATGAGAGAGACAGCCGCACTTGGGGGTAAGTCACTATGGGGAGAGGGGCTCTTGATCATGGCAGCTCCAGTTATCCAGGCTTATTACTGAAAAGTTGAACTTGGGTGAGCGAATAGCAAAGGCAAAGCAAAGTGGCTCGATGAATGGAGGCAATATCTTGGATGGGAAGCAGTGGGGTGCATTGCACTATAGAAGCCAGAAGGCCTGGGGTTGAGGCCTTGCTGCTGACATTATAAATACCACTGGGCTCTCCATTTTCTCATGTGAAAGACAAGATCTGAACCATCTCCTACATGAAAGTGGTTAGCATGTAGGATGCATTCATTCACTGAGTTATTCTATAAAATACTGGGGGCCTGCTTTGTGCCAGGCACCAGGCTAGACTCTGGGCACATGGGTGAGCACTTAGCTGTGGTCCCTGCCCTTACTGGGCTTACATTCTACCCGACCAATTAAAATGTTGGTTGAATCTGGATCCCTTACTCTCTGTCTCCACCCCGCCCCCCCCCACCCCTTTCCTGTGGAATGGGCTTCAGCCAGTACTTTTAGAAATTCTTAGCAGGGAAGGGAAGACTCAGAACAGCACGTTTTAGAACAGATAGGAAAGTGAAACTGATCTCCTGGCCCCAACCATCCTTGCCAGCATAAGAGATTTATGGGAAAGATAAAGAGGTTCTAGAATAAAGCCAGGAAATGATTACAGCCTCCTTCCAGGCTTTCCCAAGAAAACCATAAATCCTTTCCAGGCTTACGCCAACAGCAAAAAGAGTCAAACCAGCATTATAACAGTTCTTCTGAAGCTGGTGGGATATTTGCCAGGCTATTTTTAGAGACCGATTAGAAGGCTCGTGAAGAGGACCATAGATGAAAAATTAAAAGAACTATGCCGGTGATAAAGGTAAAAATATGATAGAAGTGGCCTAATGAAGGTTACATATACACCAGGTCTTCTCCTGCTCTGTGGAGAGCTATTTAAGATACGATGTATGTGGGAATCTTTTCAGTTGGATGTAGGAAGGCACCTCCTGACTCTAAGAATGGTTGGATGCCAACAAAGTGGAGGGTTATGGAATGAAATCAGTTTTCTTATGTTTGAGCAAACAGACTCGTAGATGAAGTAATCAAACTTAGCACATCTGAATGTTTGTTTTCTGCTGTTATCCATCAAGGCCCAAGCCAAGAAAACGTCGCAGAGTGTGGATGACTGCCATCTCTGGTGTGTTAGCAAGCCTGGACACTGACTACCATCTCTGGTGTGTTAGCAAGCCTGGACACCTGTAGGCTGAGGCCGTTCGGGGCCCCTTGAAGACTCTGTTCTCAAGTCTCCCTTTGGGCCTCCAGCCCATCTTCGACCTTCTCCATCAGTTTCATTGTCCAAGAGGCTGCCCGGCAGGAACTGTGCAAGAGCTCCCTGCCCTTGGGCTTGCAGCTGGGCTCGGCTAAGAGGAAGCACCGGCAGGAGGTCCTCCAGAAGGGCTGGAGCAAAGTGAGGCGGGTTATCCATTCAGCCTCCTCCCCGATGGTTTGACGGCTGCTAGATCCCTTTAGGGAAGGCTGCATGCAGCTCCTACTATGTGACCTGCCCTGCAGCTACAGTTCTCACTGGGTTCAGGGAGATACCTCCCCACCCCTCACACCTTCAGTCTTCAGTCCTAGAGGTGGTAACAGGTGTCACCCTGCTCAGACCTCTGTAAACAGTCCTTCCATAAATTCTCCTTGGTCAGCTCTTTTGTGTGTGCCATCTCTCTCCAGCTGGAAATCTGGCTCATACACACTATGAATCGGGCTTGAGGAACTTCTGAAATTCCATTCAATGTTTACTCTAACAAAAAGGTTTTGAACAACTACTTTATACAAATGATAAATAAATACTGAGGGGCTTAATAATAACATCCAAACCTTTATGAGTTTTTGGTGTGTGCTAGTTCCTGGACTAAACAGTTGATGTGATTTAATCAACTCAATAATCTTGTGATGAGTATGTTTTTAAACCTGCTTCCAGGCAGCTCAACCAATGTTTACTGGGGTTCCATATGTCGCCTGAGCCCATACCCCACTAGAAAGTAGAGGAGGCAGGATTCAAACCCAGACAGGTTTCATTTCTAAGCTTCTATTTTATTTATTTATTATTATTTTTTAATGCTTTTTTAAAAAAGATTTTATTTATTTATCTGACAGAGAGAGGGAACACAAGCAGGGGGAGTGGGAGAGGGAGAAGCAGGCTCCTCGCTGAGCAGGACCCTGGGACCATGACCTGAGCCAAAGGCAGCTTAACCGTGTCCCTAAGCTCGTATTTTAAACTTTTTCTCTTTATGGCTTCTTCTATACACTAACTACTATGATAGGATGGTCAGGGAACCAAAAGCCAAAGAAGGAGGGAGGAAGTCTACCATGTGCCAAGAATCACGTACAGAAAACGGGTCTCTATGTTCTGAACTGGAAATTTAGTAGGGGTGCAAAAGGACACAGAGCACAAACGAGGAAAAGTTTCCGGCTGAGCAACGGGGTGAGAGAGGAACTCTCTGCAAGGGGAGCATTCTGTGCAGTCATGTGCTGCTAACTGTCTAACAAATGGTCCGCCAGCCCTCCCCAAAGCCCTGATTAGTAGTGTTTGCCGATTTTTGTGGTGTGAATACTCCCACCATGGAGGGTGTCAGGCCAGCAGTATGACGTCCCAGAAGGGGGAGTGGGGAAGAGATGTGCGCCGCTGGTCCGTGAGAAACAGCACGAGCATCACTGGACTTACGGCAAAAGGATGGGGAGTCAGGCACAGCATGGCGTGTCTGGGGCACTACGAGGACACGAGCTCTGCCGGACCACAAGGGACAAGGAGTCAGGGCCAGTAGAGTGGCTAAACACTGGATTTTGAAAACTTAGTGAAAAGAGAATATAAAATATCTCATTAATATTTGTGTTGATTACATGTTAAAATCATATTTTAAATCCATTAGGTTAACCACATATTTATCATGGATGTCATCTGTTTCTTTTTACTTTTAAAAATGTGGCTACTGGAAAATCCCAAGCTATACAACTGGCTTGCATTATATTTCTTTTAGACAGCTTTGGGCCGGAGAATTTGGACTTTATTCAACAGGCAACACAGAGTCTTAGGAAGGTTTTAAATGGATGTGGTCTGCTTCCCATAAAGATCCATCTGGTGCCATGTGGAGTTTGTGGAGGCCACGCAGGAGGAGGGAAACTTGGGAGCATCCAGGCCAGAGGGATGCCAGACGGCATGAAGGCAGAGGAGGTGGGAATGAAGAAGGAGAGAGCCGCCTGGACGGGACAGGGTGGCCGATTGGTTGTGGGAGGTGAACAGACGGAGGAATCAAGGGTGATCAGGCTTCTGGCTTGGGCAGCTGTCTAGATGGGAGTAGGATAAACAGAGAGGAAAGAACAGGAGGGATGCAAATTTCCTGTGGGAGGAGAACGCGTTCACTTTCAGGCATGATGTGTCTGAGGTGCCAAGAGACTTGCAACTGGGTACAGGGGCCTGGAATCCTGTTGGCACCATCTTAAAACCATATCCCAACCATAGCCGCCGCGGAGTGCAGCCGAGCAGATCAGATCCAGGAGCGCGGTTACCGGGCGGGCTGGGTCTATGGTCGCTCCGCGGGCCGCTCCGCCGGCTGGTGCCTTTTTTTAATCAGGGCAAGGAACTTTTGGCAGAGCTCCCATTATTTACAATGGATTTTGGATAAACAAGATCTGTTGAAGGAACGCCAGAAGGACTTCAAGTTTCTCTCAGAAGAAGAGTATTGGAAATTACAGATATTTTTTGCAAATGTTATTCAAGCATTAGGTGAACATCTTAAATTAAGACAAGTTATTGCCACTGCTACGGTCTATTTCAAGAGATTCTATGCCAGGTATTCTCTGAAAAGTATAGATCCTGGATTAATGGCTCCTGCATGTGTGTTTTTGGCATCCAAAGTAGAGGAATTTGGAGTAGTCTCAAATACAAGATTGATTTCTGCTGCTACTTCTGTATTAAAAACTAGATTTTCATTTGCCTTTCCAAAGGAATTTCCTTATAGGATGAACCATATATTAGAATGTGAATTCTGTCTTTTAGAACTAACGGATTGTTGCTTGATAGTGTATCATCCTTATAGACCTTTGCTCCAGTATGTGCAGGACATGGGCCAAGAAGACATGTTGCTTCCCCTTGCATGGAGGATAGTGAGTGATACCTACAGAACGGATCTTTGCCTGCTGTATCCTCCTTTCATGATAGCTTTAGCTTGTCTACATGTAGCCTGTGCTGTACAGCAGAAAGGTGCCAGACAGTGGTTTGCTGAGCTTTCTGTGGATATGGAGAAGATTTTGGAAATAATCAGGGTTATTCTAAAACTACATGAGCAGTGGAAGAATTTTGATGAGAGAAAAGAGATGGCAACTATTCTTAGTCAGATGCCAAAACCAAAACCTCCTCCGAACAGTGAAGGAGAGCAGGGTCCAAACGGAATTCAGAGCTCTAGCTACAGCCAATCTTAAGACATTCCGAAGAATTCCATAGTGGACCAGTTGGGAAATAAACCATCGGACAGATTTCAGTTATGTCTTCAATGGAACACAAATGAAAATGAAGAGCTTGTTTCTGTCAAGCATATTGGGAAGTGATTTTATTTTTGCAAAATAAGTTTTCCTTACCTAATTTGATTCTAGTACATAATTGATTAAAATCTCTTGATTATAAAAGCATGGAAAGGTTCTAAGGGGACCTACAGACAGACTTACATAGACATTTCAAAATTAATAGCTTTTGATTAGTATAATTTTTCTTAATTTGGATAATAGAAATTGTAGCTTTTTATTAAGCCAGGAAACGTGAGGCATAATTTGTTTAAAATTCTCTTTGGTCATTGAAGGACCAAAAAGGGACATAAAAAGTCAAATGTATGAGGGGTTTTTTCCCTCCTTAAGTTAAACTTTAAAACTGTAAGGAATCAAATCTTACAAAATCCTGGAAGGTTGTGGTAATGATGTTGATAATTTCAGGGAAATTAATCAAGTACCTATCGATTTAAAAGTGTATTTTATTCAATAGTTTTAGTATCTTGCCATGGAAGATGATACTAGCCCAGCCTAGCAGAAGAGTGCAATATGTATAGCATACTTTGACATTTTAAAGTTATATTAATTCCATAACCATTTTGAAATGCTGGGCAAACTTTAAAAAAATCCTACAGGATGTTATTTGTATTTGATTCACAGTTAATCAGGCATTTTGAAAGCTAATTGGATAAAACACCATAATATGGTTAAAATTTGGTGAGATTTTAATGTTAATTTTTACTGTGAGAAGTTTTTTATATGACATACACACCCTAGTTTATTTTTGTGTCTTCGTGTGGATTTACAAATTTACTACAGGTATCCTGAGCCAGGAACACAATCAGGTTTCAGGCCAGTTTGATGCTGGCTATTCTAAATTCTCACGAGTGTAGGACTTTGGACTAAATGTTATGTCAGTGGGACTGTGCTGTCTGTGGAACTTAAAGTAATCATTTTCTTCAGATTTGAAGGAGAGTGATAAAATTTGGAGTCATAGGATATTGATGTACAATTTAAGGATTCAGTTTTTTAATAAATTGTGAACAATGGATTATTAAATTAAATGTTGACGTCCTAGTATAAAACTGCAAGAATGAAAAGTAAAGTTCTCCAGCTATAAAAAAAAAACAAAAAAAACCCCACAAAAACCATATCCCAAGTCAGCCATCTCCCACCACCTCTAATGCTACCACCCCAATCCAAGAGACTGTAATATCTTATCTGGATTTTTGCCACAGCCTCCCAGCTGGTCTCCTTGCTGATGCATTTGCCTTGTTTTTTCTCAAGTCAGCATCAACAGCTGGAGTAGGGTTGTTAAAAGCCACATCGGAATGTGGTATGCCTCCACTCACCATCTCCAGGGAGTTCCATGGCACCCAGTGGTCATACCACTCTGTACAATGACCTAAGGCCCAACGTGAGCTGGCCCTGTTACTCTCTGCGCACTCTTTCCCTCAGTGATTCTGCTGTAACCACACTGACCTCCTCGATGTTTCTAGAATCACCAGGAACCCTCCTGCCTCAGGGCCTTTGCGCCTGTCACTCTTCTCTTGCATTTCTTAGGCGCGGTTTCCCTCACCTCCTTTGGGTCTTTATTCAACTATCCCTTTCTCCATAAAGACTTCCTACTCACCCCATCTAAAATGACACCCCCACTCTTTCCTTCCTTATTTTTTCATTAGCTCTTACCTCTATTAATCTCATACAATAAATGTTTCTTATTTATCATTCTTTAAGGTCTGTCTCCCTCATTAGAATGTAAGCTCCGTAAGGCAGAAATTTTGTCTGTTTTATTTTCTGCTGTGTCCCCTGTACCAGGAATAGTTCCTGGCGCATAGTAGATACTGGATTGATATTTGTTGCATGAACCAATAAACTGCAGTAAACCAAGGGGGTGAATACATAAGTTCTAGAAACAGACCCATCTTGGAATCCCAGCTCTGAACTTGTCATTGTGACCTCGGGCTGGTTCTTTAACATCTCTGAGCCTTATTTTTCTCATCTGTGGAATGAGGGATTAATAGAACCTCCCACAAAAGATTGTTGTGAGGATGCAGCCAGTCACTCCCATGCACCAGGAGCTGTGTTTAATGGGAATTCAATGAGCTAATGACACCATGTCTGCCATATTGTAAACGCTCCGGAGATGTTAGCATTTACTGAGTATTAGCAGGGCAGGGAGTGTTAGACAGTCAGCAGACAGGGCTGTGGGATGCTGATCTGGGAGTGAGTGTCCTGGGAGAGGCTGAGCTGGCCCGGGAGTTGGACGGTGGTGAGATGGTTGCCGGGCGTGGGGGGGGGTTGGGAGGAGACAGGACTCTGCTGACTGCTGAGTTCACAGGGATGGAACCATGAGGGGGAGCTGGGAAGCAAGCTGGACTTGAAAGGCTGTTCAGGGGGTAGAAGGGGAATTCTGGTGTCATCATCAGTATACCAGTGCCAGAACCCCGAAGCACTATAGAGACAGACTCTCCCCAAAGCCACGAGTCATTCCTCCCGGGAGGTATGACACTGTCGCCATGAGAAGAACACAGTAACGTGGCAGGGTCCCACCTACTTCAGACTGCGTTAGGGCTGGACTCGAGTACCATGCCTTACTACTTAAAAATCCCATGAAAGAGCTAGAGCCTCATCATGGGCAGAAATGGACAATGGCTCTTTGTCACCAGCCAGAGAGCTCTGAGGAGGCAGAGATCTGAGGTTGCTGTCCCTGTCGGGGCCTCAGATGGCGCAGAGATGAGGGTCAAGCACTGCGAGATCACAGGTCAGACAAGATGAGAGCATGGAGGCCTGGAGGCCCTGCCCTTTCCTTCCAGACTTGGCATGGCTCTGGCCCTTGCTGCCCTTGGCTGTGCCTTACCCTGGCCTTCCTGGTAGATTTTTCTGGAAGACTTCCCAGGGGCCTCTCAGCTCCCCAATGGAAATTTGGAAGAAGTCCCTGCCCTATTTTCAGGTCTAGGCCCTAGTGATGAGGGAGCCCAGGATAGCAGTTATTTAGACAAGAGCCCCTCAGGCACTCTGGCTCCTTCAGTGCGCCGGAGGTATCTCCCCTCAGGAGGCTTTGTGGTGCCATGTCTCCACAACACACAGCCAGGGGCCCCACTGCATTATGGCACAGAAGAGGCCGAGAAGTCAAACGCTATAGTGCAGGCGCAATTGCAAGGCTTAGCCACCCCCTCCCACCCCTCAGTAATACATGTTGCATGAGAGACACCTGCAGTTCAACACATTGTCAAAAAGTGAACCCCTCTGTCACCACCACCTAGGTGTTGAGGGGACCACTGCCGGTACCCCAGGATCTGCCCCCAACCCTTTCTGATTTCTATTCCTTGCCTCCCCCCCGACCAAAGGTAATTACTCTGTTGCCTTCCGGAACAATCATTTTGATGTTCTGTTGGTTTTGTTTTGTTTTGTTTTAACAAGGCAGCATGGTGGCGTGGAAAGAACGTGGCTTCTGGAGCCAGGAGGAATTCCTTCACATCTTGGTTCCTCTCCTTACTAGCTGGGTGTCCTTGGGCAGACTATCTCACCTCTCTGCGTTTGCTCTCTGTATTTGTGACATGAGGATAAGGACTGAATGCAAGCTCATAAAGTGTTTTGAAAGGTTCAGTATGCGTTCGTACATGCGAAGCCTCGGGTAGTCTGGCCGCTGTTCACAGCATGCCACCTAAAAACACACCCCTGAGCAAATGTGGTCCAGGGGCTAGTTTTCCAACTCTGGATTCATGGAATCACACCATAAACCACCCAACAAATAAACAAACAGGTGTGCGGAGCCTGTATGATAAAAACAACAATGGTGATGGAAGCAAAAAAGGATGGGCCCGTTGCTGAGGTTCTGGAAACCGGAGAAGCCTGACGTGACGGGCAGGTGGATGAAGATAAGAGCACCGGAGGTAGCAGACACAGATAATGAAGAGCTCCACAGAGAAGTGTAACTGAAAGGGCACAGCCTGGGGCCGAGGCATGGGAGGGGCTCTGGGGCTGCGAGGCATCTCGCCTCCCACTAACCTGCACCAAGGGAGGTCACAGGAGGACAGCGTTTGGGAATAGGGAAAAGCTTTGCTCTTGTGGACCTCACTGCACTTCCTTCACAAGGTGGTGGAGCCCACTTCCCCATTCTGCCTCTGGTTGCATAACTGCACATTTCCAGTCCCGGTCGCCGGGCTCAGTGCAGGTCACTGAATGCACAAGGCGCCTTTTGTTTCAGGGCAGCCTGGACAGGGTTCCAAGCCACAGGGGCCCTTTTCTCAGAAAGGAAGAGCCTTGTGCTCAGGGAGCCAAAAGCCCCCACTCCCAACTGTATCCTGGGTAGAGTGAAACTGGAGATGTCAAGCTATTTCATAAAACGGTACCAAATACTTAGAAGTGCCAAATACTTCGTGGAGTTCATGTGGTTTTCTTTTGAAGTTACAGGTTCCCCTTTTGCTAAATGTTTGCTGACCACTCATTCCACTCCAGGCCTTGGGCCAGAGCTTTCCATGCATCTGCCTACTTGATCTTCTGGTCAGCCCGGAGCCGTGGCCCTCTAGCCTTCTCTGACTTACAAAAAAGGAAACAGAGACATGGTAGCTTGCTCAAGCTCACGTGGCTGATAAGCGAAGGAGGCCTGGCAAAAGCCATGTTCTTGTCCAGTCACTGTTCTGTGTCTCCTCATTTCCTTGTGCAATGGTCCTAGTTCTGCCACCAGTGGGCTGTGTGACTGGACATGCTGCTGTGGGCGAGACAGCGGGAGGAGGCCTGTTTGTAAGGAGGAGGCGTGTGGGTCCCAGGCTGCTGCATTCCTGGATTCACTTCACTTCACGGGGGACCTCCTGAGATGCAACCCAGCCCTGGGCTCTTGAGGGCTCCAGGAGACGTAACATCATGGCCTCGGGCCTCCTCAGGGAGTTTCTAATATAACTTGGGCCACAACTGATGGTAAAGACGGTGAATAGTTAATTTCCCCAAGTGTGATTTGGACCAGAGTAGAAGGGCTCTGGGAAGGCAGCTGAATGAGTGGAAAGATGGATCATCTTGAAGGAAGAGCAAATCCTCCTTAACATTTGCTGAAAATAACTTCTCTGCTAGGCAAGTCATCACCATCTGGCTCCC